ACTTAGCTTTATCATTTTGTATAGTCTCATGAAAGGGATATATAGTCTGCCCATATCTTGAAAGGGATGGCTTGCTCTTGCCAAATGCCAAATGGATGGGAATAATGTCCCAATTCGACTATGAAATTAAACCACGATCATAACTCCATATGTAACTCTAACATTCATTGTGTCTTCAATTAATTGACATAATTTAATTTTACAAAGAAAGTATTAGAAAATAAAAAAAAATTATTGTTGAAATTATCAAGAACTTTGTCAAAGATTGTCATGGAATTGTCGTGACAAAAGAGTTTGGGGCGGAAAATACATGGTTGGAGAAAATGATTGTCATTGAATTGACATGACAATCCTTGACAGAGGTAACAAAATGTTGCGACAGAAGGGTTTGATGCGGAAAATTTAGTTTGCTGTTTGCGACAAAATTTGGGACAAACGCGCATTTTTATAGTGGAAGAAATATTATGCGATCCAGATTAATCGATTTCATTGTTAACGATATGTGAACGTAGAGTTTATTCATCATGCCCAATTAGCAGTGAAATTCACACAAGTTGTCATGGACTTGTTATACTACATTGTTACTATATATGAATTTGGAATTAACATTTCCATATTCTCTTAAAAAGAGGCTAGGGCAATATCTGCTTAATTATGGAGAGGAGTAATGATAGGTGTTGAGAAATGGATTAGGGAACAAACGTGTTTTCCAAATACCAATGTACTGTACTTTATAAATATACACCACAATGCCAATCACTTCCATACATATTGTCCCAATCACTTCCAATGTAACACATAAGAAGTCCTATTTTTGTATAAGCTTAATGTTTCAGTCTTATTTAGGTAGATTTCTTTTATTCTTCCCTTCAATGTCCATTGTTTTCGCGCCTTTCTTTTCTCCATTCCCATGGCATCTCGGGATTTTTGGATGCCCATAGTCCAATTCGTTTTGCTCTGGCATCTTTCTCCCACTAAAACACACACAACCACAAAGATGATGATAGGCTTTGAGAATATAACATCGCTCCATAGCTCTCAACATCAAAGAGAGCAAAACTTTCTACTTTTGGTCCAAGACAATTAGGTCATTTCTAGTTGGTTATTTATTTATCCTTTAAAAATCAGCAGGAAACCATATAAAAGTTGCCCGGGCTGGAACGGATCCAATCATGCAACAAAAATATGAAACATTTGAAGGGTGGTTAACAAATTGGAAAAAAAAGTGATAAAGAATGTAATGTAAAAGAATAAAGATTTACTTTTGCGAGTTCGGGACGTTTATCATAGGCTGTGTAATGCCAAGCCAGACCCTTCTTGAGCATAACTTCCTGAATGGAATAGAACAAAGGTAAATAAATACTCTTCTATATATGTTGTCAAATATTCAACTGGTTTGACACTGAAAGCTCCTTGGCCTTGTTTCGATTGGCTTTGGAGTTCCGGGAATAAGAGAGGGTTTTTCAATATATTCATGACCCTACAACCGCAATCTTGAGTATTTGGTTGAGTTGATTTCATACCTTTATGAGCACATGACTCGCCATACCTGTACAAATATGCCATTGCAATACACATCTCCTACACAACGGCCATAGCGATCCTCATCAAATACCATCACTCTTAAGCTCTTGCCTTGAACAATTTTAACCAACTCTTCCTTTGATTCTCTTCCAAACGGCATCTTGCTTTCCGGTGCGTCTATACCTCTGTTTTTTTCTTATTCCTATATTAGTCACCAATCAGACCTCCTCACATGCAACGAATGCTATCATTTAAATCGTACCTTAACCGAATCCTATATTTCCGAGCAAGAACTTCCTCCTCATTTACCCTTATTTCCCTGCAAGAACGTCTTCCACGGTTATTAGATTACAAAAAAAATTCCTAAACCATCAGCTACAAACTTGAAAGCTTTTTGGTTGAGTTGGTCCATTGACATGGTATGAGAGTCTTTCTGAGCTAGAGGTCATCTCAACATCTTCTAGTTTAAAAGTATTAACATTTTCAAACATTTTTGGACTTTCAGCTACAAGTTTGAGCTTTATGTGACTAACCGATATCCAGAGTTAATAATTTGCTGGTGCAGCTCATCTGCTCGTGCATAGTTTTTACGCGAACGTGCTTCTGATCTTTGGCGAGCTGCGGCTGCAACATCATTCGGGACACGAGATGCTTCTCGGGGATCTGTGGCCCGTACATATACAGTTATTGTATCCCCATCTGCTACTGCCTTTGCATCTACCTAATGATATCATTTAAGCAGGTGATTAACAATTGGGCTGGTATAACTCTAAATGACCATAAACTACACAGATTGAGTACAATTAACTAGACAATTTAATGCAAAACTTTGAACAAATACCAAAAACACAATGCCACATTGAGAAGAATTTGGGATTGGATAGGAGTTCACTCAATCGGCCCACAAAAGATTGGAGTCAAAACAGATTAAAAGATTGAATCCAATCGATTAAGTAATTCAACTCAAGATATCTTATTAACCCATCATTCTGTTCTGTGATGTGGGATACACTAATACTTATTCAATAGCTTACCGGCAATGTAAGCAATTCAAACCGGAGACCATTTTGGTGGGGCGGGGGAGTTCCATCAGTCAGTTCAACTAGAGAACCGGGAAGCGGGAGGCCATAGAAAACCAGAAATCCCTGTAAACAAAATGGGAATGTTTGTGATCCGAAGGAATTACTCTCTCCTTTGCTTCTATAACGGATCATTATTACTTTGTTGATACATTGAAAAATGAATGAATGTGTACACGAATTGTGTCCGTATTCATTCAACATTTCATGCATCACAAAAGCCATAACGGTCAGTTAAAAGTGAATGGAAGAAGTACATATTTTTGGAGTAAATTGGGGAGTACTCCTTAAATATTTATGGATTTTAGATTTCCACCTCCACATCTGCTTTCTGATGTCCTTTCAGAGTCTGGATTATGAGCCTTGAGGCTTCTTCTGGAGTTCTTGGTGGAGGCTTTGCTTCCCTCCAAGCAGCTGAAAGTTTCCTATACCTTCAAAATCATCAAATTACAGATATTTTTGTAATTCTGCAAATTACTCAATTTCATAGAATTAGGGTTCTTCAAATGAATCTAGAACAACAATTTCTCCAAGAACAAAAATGGGGCGATTATGTTCAATACCAATTGGATTGAGCCTTCCTGGATGAGACCACGTGCTGACCTAATCCTGCCGGAACCTTAATTTTTGCAAACCAAAAGATCAAAACTTGTAGTTGGACAAAGAAAGGAAACGATTTACAGTTTAATCACAAAGTACTGAGATAAGTTTTTAGGCGAAGCTTAAAATGAATAAAAAAAAGGAAGTGTGGGTAACCTGGGAAGTGATCTCGAAGTTGTAGAGATCTTGAGCGAGAGCGGAGACTCCGACGGTGGCCGGAGTTACGCCGTGGTGGCCTGGAGCCTCGGCGTCCGCCGCCGAGCCGCACAAGAATCTCAAAGCGTTACCCATCGAAGCCGCTGTTGCTTCAGGCTCTCATCAACTGCTAATAACGAAGAATGAAGGAATCCTATGAAGAATTGAAGCAAATTCTTTGGTTTCTTTGAAGAATGGAACCAAATCTATCAACTCGCTCCGAGTATCTTTAGATCGGATGTCTCATAAACACAAGGCGTGTGACGACTGGTCGGTCTTATTCTCCCTCCACCAATAACTTTTTAAATTGTACTTCTCCCTCCAAAAATTATCTTTTTCGGTTGTGTTACTATATTGGATTGAAATTATTTCTAAATATAAAATTTTATATGAAATTAAAAAATAAAATTTACGAATTAAAAAACTACATGAAAAAGATTTACAAAATTATAGCTGACATGACTATATTATTTTATCAAATAAGTAACGAAAATATGCCAACAAAGTGAATAAATTTTGATAATGTAAATACTGAACGATAAGATAATTTTTGAACAGAGGGAGTATTCCGTAGTAAAAAAACAAATTGCTACTAGAAATGGAAGGTTATCACCTGTACCCATTTGTTTTGTCACGTGACAAAGCCTACTCGCACTTTTTAAATTTTTATAAGAAAGTCTTCCTAATATCTACAGATAGGATGTCTCAAGTGACCGTCTAACTGGTTTGAAGAGTCCTTAAGATCTGGGACATTGTTTTTTTAAATTTTAAATTTACTACAATAATTATAATTCATCCCACTATTTTAGACATGTAGTAAAAGAGGGGTAAAATATTTTCCGAAAATAAAAGTGTCTGTACGTTGATGTTAAAATTTACGGAGTACGAAGAAAGAAGGAAGGTGAACCATACAAACACAAGCTTTGTTACGAAATAACGTATTCAACATTGGCAAGTGTTTTAAAAATGTTATAAATAGCTCTCGAGGCACAACTTAATTGGTAAAGACAATTGGTGAGCCTTGCTCGCAACCTACAGAGTGCGAGTTTGAATCTTGAAGGTGAGTATTTAGATTCGGTCTCTTGTAGGTGAGATTAGTCGTGTCAAAAATTTTATTATCGCTAAAGAGTTGTGACACATCCTACAATTACCTAATTCACCCTTTTTAAATGTTATAAACACTACTCTCGGGTAATTTTTTTCCACCAAAGTTCATATTCGCACAATAAATTTTGAAGTGGTGATATGAAATATGAATTTTTTACCCTCTAGGGGCATACTTTAAGGCAAAGAGAGCTAATTTGCTTTGAACAATGACCAATAGATATTGATTATTGAATATTGATACTACATTAAAAAAACATATAATACTACATTAAAAAGTCACTATGTTTTAGTAATATTTAATTAATTTTTTTTTACCAAAGTTCATATACAGTCAAAGAGATAATTTAGTTTAAAATTACTTCTTCCTGCCGATAATTGTTGCATACTTGCATTTGCATATCAAACTAGAGAGCAGAGAGCCGGCACCAAACCCTAGCGCAGAGCGGATCGCCAAGCGCCAGCATCGCCTTCCTCCGAGTAGCTACTTCTGGTCCACGGCGGCCGTGGATCCGAGCTCGTGGTCGGAACCGTTGAAGCAGATCACTTTCCTACCCCTTTTCCACCGTTTGAATTTCCATCTCCACCCGCGTTTCACATTTTAGGTAAATTATTCTCGTCTGTTTCGCCCTGTTGTGATGTCCTAGAATGGAGATTTCCTTTCAAACTACTCAACCACGTTTTAGGTTATCCATTTAGGAGAGGTCTATTGAACTGGAAGTAGTTTAGTTCATATCGCCATCAAAGCTCCTCTCATTACCTCAAACATACTCACCATGTAACTTTATCTATGTATCTGTTTCAAATGTATGCATATGTTCCTCATTAGATCCAGTATGGAAGGTGCTAAGCATCCAGTGAGTTGCTTTAAACACTGAAGTTTTGGATTTAGGATTTTGTTTGTACATATCTAACTCAAAAGAGTAGGAATCAGTCACCAAAAACAGTGTCAAGCAATCCCAGGTACATGTAAAGGAAGGAGAAGTAAACAATGTACTTTGTGCCCCTCCAGACTCGAATGTGGTATTGCTCCATTTATTGTTTTCCTCAACAATGTACTATAGTTCTCCGTGATACCACATGATCCATTTATTGTTTTCCTCAACTTTACAAATCAGTGCTATTGTAGGGGCCTTTCACTCCATTACTTTGTGTTTTCCCCAAAATTACAAATTAGTGCAGTTATTGTCCTCAACTTTAAGAACAAATTTTGTTGGGGTATTTAACCCCATTACATTGTAATACCCACAATAAGTGCAATTGGTTGGGGATAGGCCATTATTCAGCCAAGTATATGATATTAATCTTCCCCAGTGCCCAGTGGACCTGATTCTCTCAGCTCAGTTCCGTTTTCTTGATGGCAATGCCTGCTGATCTAAGGACCCCATAGATTGCCGGGACTGTAATGGCTTGGAGAAGCCTTTATCTATGGAGATGCAGTGAGACTGTGTTGGAAACTGCAGCAACTGGTTGTCGATTCTACAGGACAAAACCTAAGGCTGTAGACTTGAGGAAGCTTAGGCCGATGATTTTGAAGAGGATCGAGAACCGGGCAAAGGATTATCCGGTGAAGGGAATGGTACCCGTGGCTGAGGAGGTCCTCAAGTTTCGAGCTCTGCTCTACCATGGAGTATCCACCCTCCTCCAACATTTCCCTGTGTGGGCATGCAAGTAATTCACCTCTCTCTCTCTCTCTGTCACAGCTTTCTATGTTGTTTGTGCATACTGAACTCGTGCTTGTTGAATGAAGTGTTTCTTTTTCATAAAAAGAAAATTATGGGGAGAGGCTTTTTGGGTTTTCATTCATTACCCAAATTTGGGGCATTTGATATATTGTGCCTTTTAAGCCAACATGCTTCTTTTCACTCTGAAAGTACGTGTGGTAACGTAAGAAGTGCTTTAGCTATAAAACACAGTAGTAACTTAAAAACTGAATCATTTTTAAAAGATGCTTGTGAATCAACCACTTGGCCTTTGACAAAATCACTAGTAACAGAGTATATGGGTTCATTCAGGAATAATTATCTGAATTGAATGAAATGTAGTGGAATTTTGAACTAAACAGTACCAAAGGGAACTGAACAATTGTAAAATTAAGTCCAAATGAACTGTTTGTCTTTTAAAAAATCTCACAACACCTAATGTATCTGACAATATTCACAGCACCTTCTTTTACAGGAGTACATAAATTACTAAACAAACTTTTTTTTTCTCACTTTATTCAAGTTCGTCACTCTACACAGTAATATCAAATGACCCCAAGTGTGTGGCATTAAAAAGATCAAGTTTTGTATGAAGATTGTGGTGCACTGAGAGCAATATTAGGGACTTGAAAATGCTAATTTCTCTTTAAATAGTTAAGAAAGTATCTTGCAAGAGAACTGAGCTTACTTATCATTATATTCTCATGGAGTAATTGATTCTTTTGCTGCAGATATTGTCAGGAAGTGTATGTTGGAGAAAGCGGACACTTAATTCGAACCTGTGGTGGTTATAGGCGCCGTTCAAAGAACCAGCTTCATGTATGGACCAATGCAACTTTAGACAACATCCTACTCCCTGTTCAAACTTTTCATCTGCACAACATGTTTCAAAACATCATCAAACACCACGAAAGATTTGATCATGACAGAATTCCCGCTGTTGTGGAGTTGTGTTTGCAGGCCGGTGCCAACTCAAACGATGAAACCATACACAAACTAAGCATGGAATTGGAAAGCTATTTGAGAACCGAAACCTCATTCAAGAAGAAACTGATGTTGGCAGGGATGGAGACACTGAAAGCTTGGGAAACGGTCAGATCCGGAGTGGGGAAACTGCTTTTGGTTTATCCTGCAAAGGTCTGCAAACACTGTTCAGAAGTTCATGTGGGACCCTCTGGACATAAGGCTCGGCTTTGTGGTGTATTCAAGTATGAGAGTTGGCGGCGAGGGCATTTTTGGGAGAAGGCAAGCGTGGATGACTTGCTCCCTCAGAATGTAGTTTGGCACAGACGACCCCAAGACCCTCCATTGCTAGTTGATGAAGGTCGGAACTATTATGGTCATGCTCCTGCAGTTATCGATCTATGCACGAAGGCGGGGGCCATCCAACCATCTAAATATAACTGCATGATGAAAGTTGATGGGTTATCACCTCCCATAGCAGCCACAACTTAGTGACATTCATCATTTTCTGAGGATTATAAGGCCTTTGGATTATAATATTCCTGGTACAACACCAATAAACAACAGAATTCTCTCCATGTCTGGTGATTTTGCTAAGGTATGTCCACATCCCGGAAAATTGCCACTAATAAAATATATTTTCATATGCTGTAGTTGAAATTGTAGTATGGCAGTTTTGAATAAGAGCAATGGACTAGTATAGTTCCATTCTTAGACTTTGTTTTTTTTGAGTTGGAAAATGAACTTCCAACTTCTTCCAACTCCTACTTTCTTCCAACTCTTTCGTGTTACTTTCAACTCCTAGTTTATTTGGATGATTATTTAATTGAGTGATTTTTTAACACTTAAATTCTTCCAACTTATTCCAACTCTTTCCTGTTTTTTCAACTCCTTCCAGTTTCTTTCACCTCCAACTTTGAAATTCCAACCCAATAAAACATGACCTTATATATATATATATATATATATATATATATCCAAGCAAAATGCTAAAACCTTGAAGCCCTGTCATACATTTGAATCAAGGTAAAATCTTAAGAAGGCAAAAAAACCATTAAGAATCATGATAAGGTTTTCTTCAATACAAAAAAATCTGCCAGGAACTTAGCAAGATTTTAGTTTATGGAAAAATCAGCCAGATTTTTTTAAAAAAATTATTGCTGGTTGTTTGGTTTACCATCAGAAGCTGCCAGGAACTTTCCAGCTGGAATCTGTCCTTTGGGCACTGTTAAAAATTAGTGTCATCACCTGGGACCTGTTTCCTCCATACTCATCTAAGCCTTCACTGTCCTCAGGGCATCACTTGTTTTGCGAATTTGGCTGCAATCATTATACCATGAAAAATGATTTGAGGCCATTAAGTACAAACAACATATATAGCTAAACCTAATTGAAGTATAAATCCCAAAAATACCACAAACAAACTTCTACCTTTGGCATCCACTTGAGTTGACAGTAATGGAAAGAATAACAGTCTTAAGGTGTCGTTGCTGCTTTCATAGACCATCCATTTCTATGATTATGTGAGGCAATGTTTCGAACACATATTGAGCATAGCTCAAGAAGTCTAGAAGCCAAAACCAATCTAATATTTATATACAAAATCACACATATATGTAAGTAAATCTGTAAAACTTCTCTTGTTTATGTTCTGAATCCATCAAATTGCTAAGTAGTAAATAAAATGGAAATACCGCTGGGAAAAATATTGAAATAAAAAGACCCCTTAGGTTTGGGAAATACCTTGAAGAAGTCTCGTAGTTGTCATCGGTGTAGGAGTTGGTCTGCCAAAATCAGACAGTAGCTTATGCCTCCAAGTCCCCGTCCCCATGCCTGAATCTGGCCGACGGAAGAGGATGATGGAACTCCAGTGGCAACTTTTGTAAAAGTCATTTTCACCATCTCCATCTTGCTCAATTTTTGCAAGGGATTTTTGTCACCTCTTCGCAGGCGGCAGAGTGAATTCGTCGACTTGGGAAGAAGAAAGAAATGAAGTTGCTGCTATTCGATATGAGGAAGGAGATCGGTCGTAGAATAGGGGAGGAATAGTGTGGTGGGTAAGGCTGCTGATTTACTACTTTATCCTTATCCATGTATTGTAGTCTAGCTTTAGGCAGGAAATTTTTACTCCTTTCTGTTCTTATTTTTAATATGGTTCTTAAATAAGGTTGATTTTACTCCCTCAAGTAACTAAGGTAATAATCAAAATTGTATTGATTTAGAAGTGTCTATTTTGTGGAGTCAACTGTTTGACTAATTGTTTTGAAAGTATCTATTTTGTGGAGTCAATGTTTGTTATTGATTTTGAAAATATATTTGGTAGGACTATACTGGAGAGGATGTTACAATCAAAAACTTCTATGCTGTTCTAGAAGGTGATTTAAGTAGGTTACAAGGGGAACTGGTGAAGTTTTGAACAGTAAATCTAATGACTACATTTTCATATACTTTTCAGGCCACGGAGGTCCCTGTGATTCAGGTGGAACAACACTGGGTAAGTTTAGCAAACTCTTTCAGGTTTGAATTTAGCAAACTCTTTCAGGTTTGAATTTTTGACTACTTTGAGAAATCGCCCATTATTTGATTGCATAATTTATATTGACTATTCTATTAGATTTTGAGCGAGCTTGTGCTTCTTTCTGTGGTTAGATTTTAGCTCCCAGGTTGTTATCTAAGGCTATGTTTATATGGTGTGAAATATTAGAATCGGTCTCTCTGCTCATAGTAGTAGGTCCGGGAGGCAGCGACATTGACCTTCAATGAAGAAGAATAGAGGATATACGCTAGCAAGTAGGTCCACACCCTCATCACGTCGTGCGCGTGCACATGTCAATCAACTCAAACAGCTTTACATTGCACCACGATCACATGAAATCAGACTGAGTGAACCATAGAAATTTAATGTCTTAGTGCAGTTATTCTTGAGAAAGACAATGATGTATACACACAAAAGTTAATTGTGAGTTAAAAAAAGGTACTTTATATTAGATTTCTTCTTTTTTAATGTGAGTTAATTGTGAGTTAAAAAATATTGAAATGCAACTGAAATCTTAATTGGTCGTCTTGACCTTCAATTCATTGTCGGAGAAAGGAAGATGAAGCAGGTGAGTGGAGAGAGACAATTGAGCAAATCTTTCCCCTGTTGTCCATTGGCGGTGGCAATATAAGAACAATTTGGCAAAACAAAACGAGTAATTTCTCTTCCATCTCTCTTACGTATGTTACTTTTATGGACTTCCACCCAATTAAATCTGATACAATTATAAGGAATCTTATATTGGAAATAAGAGTAGCCGGATGACTGATGATGCTAGGTAGATGCTTGAATGGCTTTACACACTAGGGACGATGACTTGTACTGCACATGATTAGAAGATGTAGCTCCTGGCGAACAGAGATGAAATGAGATCCACACCAAGCTCCTAGCCAACAGAGATGAGATGGTAGCTCCTTAGGCCAGTTATCTGATGAATCACACAACTATCACTGTAAACACCTTTATGGAAATCTAAGCCCTGGGACAAAGGAAAAGGGATGTCATATGACGCAAAGTGTAAAGGAACACAAGAAAAATGAACGGTGTTAATGAAACCGAGCTCAAACTTACACGTTCCCACAAACAACTAAGATTTGGTCCATCTTTGTCGTGTCCCTGGAACACACAAAGTTTTCTTTCCTTTATGCTTTTGTCACCGAACTCACTTACGGTTTGCCTAGAATCATGTTGTAAAACTAACTCGAAGGAGTAAGCGTTATCAATTTCCACCCATTTGGAAACCCTGGCTTTTCACCTACATCTGCAAAATAACATATTTAATATTGATAATAACACAGAATAATATATTAGGGGCTTGAACTAAAAATATTTTAATTTATCACCTCTTCGAATTGTCTTTCCACAGTTATCTCACTACGGTCATGGGACACGCTAGAAAAAAAATTAAAAATTTAAGGAATTGTTTTAAGATAACTAATCAAAAAAACTTTTATCTAATTACCTGTGTTTCAGTCACGCAATGCTAAATAAATTGACTATACATATTTCGTAACCACGTGGTGGTGAAGGCTTTACTTACCGAGGACAGTACCAAGCTATGTTGTCCTCATCAATGCCCGATGCAGTAATAACATAAGTGCTCAGGCCCTCGAGAAAATTAATGAAGAAGTTCGCGCTACGACATGCTTCACAGTATATATGACATGCTTCACAGTATATAATTTGTGAAGCATGTCGTAGCGCGAACTTCTTCATGGATTTTCCCGAGGACCTGAGCACTTATGTTATTACTGCATCGGGCATTGATGAGGACAACATAGCTTGGTACTGTCCCCGGTCAGTAGAGCCTTCACCACCACGTGGTTACGAAATATATATAAGCAGTTTATTTAGCATTGTGTGCCTAGAACATAGGTAATTGAATAAAAGTTTTTTGATTAGTTATCTTAAAACAATTCTTTTAATGTTTATTTTTTTTCTATCGAGTCCTATGACCGCATTGAGATAAGTATGGGAAGACAATTCGAAGAGGTGATAAATTAAAATATTTTTAGCTCAAGCGCCTAATATATTATTCTGTATTATTATCAATATTAAATGTGCTATTTTGCGGATGAAGGTGAAAGCAAGGGTTTTTAAATCGGTGGAAATTGATAACGCTTACTCCTTCAAGTTAGCTTTACAACATGATTCTAGGCAAACCGTAAGTGAGTTCGGTGACAAAAGCATAATGGAAAGAAAACTTTGTGTGTTCCAGGGACACGACAAAGATGGACCAAATCTTAGTTGTTTGTGGGAACGTGTAAGTTTGAGCTCGGTTTCATTAAAACCATTCATTTTTCTTGTGTTCCTTTACACTTTGAGTCATATGACACCCCATTTTTCTTTGTCCCAGGGCTTAGATTTCCATAAAGGTGTTTACAGTGATAGTTGTGGGGTTCATCGGATAACTGGCCTGAGGAGCTACGATCTCATCTTTGTTGGCCAGGAGCTTGATGTGGATCTCACTTCATCTCTGTTGGCCAGGAGCTACATCTCCTAATCATGTGCAATACAAGTCATCATCCCTAGTGTGTAAATCCATTCAAGCATCTACTTAGCATTATCGGTCATCCAGCTACTTTTGTTGCCAATATAGGATTCGTTATAATTGTATCAGATTTAATTAGGTGGAAACCCATAAAAGTAACGTACGTAAGAGAGATAGAAGAGAAATTACTCATTCTGTTTTGCCAAATTGTTCTTATATTGCCGCCGCCAATAGACAACAGGGGAAAGATTTGCTCAATTGTCTCTCTTCCCTCACCTGCTTTATCTTCTTTTCTTTGACAATGAATTGAAGGTCAAGACGGTCAATTAGGATTTCAGTTGCATTTCAAATTTTTTTAACTCACAGTAGAAAAGAAGAAATCTAATATAAAGTATCTTTTTTTATAACTCACGGTTAGCTTTTGAGTGTATACATCATTGTCCTTCTCAGAAATAACTGCACTAAGACATTAAATTGTTATCGTTCGCTCAGGTCAGATTTCATCTGATCGTGGTGTAATGTAAAGCCGTTTGACTTGATTGGCACGTGCACGACGTGATGATGGCGTGACTCACTCGCTAGCGTATATCCTCTATTCATTGAAGGTCAATATCGACCTACTACTATGAGAGATACTGATTCTCACACCATATAAACATAGCACTGGATTAAAATCTAACTAGAAAGAAGCACAAGCTCACTCAAAATCCAAAAGAATAGTCAATGCAAATTATGCAGTCAAATAATGGGCAATTTCTCAAAGTAGTCAAATATTCAAACCTGAAATAATGGAAGATTCACCAAAGTATTAATGGACGGCTATGAGGTTGCAACTTGCAAGAACCGTCTACACTGTGTATTGAAGAAAGAGCCCTTTTTCTAGGATGTGTTTAGACGAATTAGAAGTTCCAGGTAACATCTGTGTTAGTTTCCAAACAATTCATACAGAAGACTGAAGCCAAGGACATAGATATATTGATATACTCGTAATATAATTCGGGCAAATTGAAGCATAACACGAGGCTTTGAAAGTTATCTACTAAGTAAAAATAATAATAAAATAAAATTACATCAGTGCACAACACAAAAGACTTAAACAAATGTTTTAGTAGAATACAACATGAAAAGATGACGAAGCACTTATTTCATCCCTACGTAAATACCAAACAAGTCTTTACTTCACACTTTGTTAAATGATCAAAGGTAATGTACTTGAAAGTACACATGAGAGTCCATGTTATAGCCAAGTGATGGAAACTAAAATACATGAGAGTCCATGTTATAACGTTTAACTAAAATACATTTTATATTTATTTAAATATTCGTGTCTTATAAAAACTTAATATTATAGATTTAGAAATGTCATAAAACATTTTATAAAATTAGAGATTTCATAACTTTAATTTTTAATAAATTGATAAACGAAAACATGTAAAGAAAGAATAACTAATTTAACTTTGTAAATAATGGATATATAAGACAAACATAACGAGATGATGTGAGTAGCTCATAAAATTAAAGATTATATTTATTAGAAAAATATTAAATTTAATTAAAATTAAATAATTGTATTACGGAGTACAATGTAAATATATAACTTATGCAGAGTAACCACTAGCATCTACTCTTTACATTTTAAAATTATTATAACAGCTTCACTAATGGTAACAAATATGTCTCTACCTCCTCTATCCCAAACTTAATTGAATCATTAGTGTACTAACAGTCAATAACTTTCATTAATTATGTTTTTCATTGATTATTTAATAATATAAAATATTCTCGTCACATCTTATTTTACAAAGCAGTTTACATTTTTTTATTATGTAAATTGTATTACCTTGATCTATTGTTTTAGGAAAAGGAGGGTATATAATCTACATATACTCCATTTCTCTCTCTAAAAGAATGTCACATTTACTTTTTAAACAGTCGGGATAATTTTTTTTATTTGTACGTTTTCATTAGTTATATAATAAAATAAAATATTCTTGATACCACTCATTTCAAAAACTTTTTATGTAGTCTTTAAATAAAATGAATTGGAAAAATTTGATATTTTACCTCGATTTCAGAAATGACAAACAAAACGGAGGGAGTATATTCCAATTTTATCAATTTCGTATACCAAACGGACCTTTAATATAATTTATTTGAGATTTGGAGCAAACAAGAAATGATATTAGTGTAAGCAAATGATACCAGTAGCATTGATGTCATTTTAGACATATTCTATGGTAAAATACACCCCGTTATGGAAAAGAAGTTAAAAACACACACATTGTGTCCAAATTATTCATTCAAATACAAAATTGAACACAACTACTCTGTATATGGCTTAAGGAAGATGATGAAATGAAACATGAAAATAAAAACAAGTCACCGCACCACTGAGTCAGAAACGGGACACCAGAACTCCATGATACACTAGTAAATTAGAAGCAAATGTACAAACGATGCTGACCAAACGACTCGTCAAGTATACTGAGTCAGCAGTAACCTAACTCAGTGAGTGAACACACCGATCCACATTACCGCGGCTGCTGGATCAGCCTCGGACTCACCTTCACGTTCACAATCTTCGGCGCCTTCCGGCCGAGCATCCGAATCGCCGCCGCCTCGCGCGGTTTTTTCCATCTTAGAGATCCGATCCTCACCAGATCACTACTCTTCTCCTCATCTGGAGCATACACGACGCGCAATGATCAGAAAAACACAGAGTCAACTCGCTAAATCGACAGATCTAGCTGGGAATGACGAATGCATAATGTATGGACAATTGCACTTACGCTTCGAGCCGCGGAAGGAGAGATCGGAATCGAAGGCGTCGAAATCAAAGGCGTCGAGATCGGGGAAGAAGGAATCGCCGCCATCGGCGTAGCACTCGCGAAGCCAGTAGTCGTGGAAGCAGGGAGAGGAGCGGATGAGGTCCCACCACTGGTCGGAGAAGTCCTCCACCGCACGATACGCCGTCGGGACGAAGACCGGAGCGTTAGGATTCAGAGCAGACGTCGCCATTCAGAGAGAGAGATAGAGAAGATGGAGAAAGAAAGTTGTCCGGGATGGGGTGAAAATGAGAGACGAAAAGACTGTAATTTTATAGTGATAGGCCAAAACAGGAGAGACGACAGTGGAGAACGTCGTTTTACTTGCCAAATCAGGGGGCGTTACACATCACCCGCTCTTATCCATATGTCGGTGGCTAAGGCTCGTTTGGTTTGGTCGAAGTAAATGTGCCCCAAGATGTGAGCAATCCCACTTTGTGCAGCGTTTTAATTTTGGGTCATGCTACACTTACACCACAAATTCTACCCATTTGTACACCGTAGTTATACACAAACATTTTGATAGTTTACACCGACACAAGTGTTGGTGCGTTAACAAAAATTTACACGGACACAAAGTGTTGGTGCATTAATAAAAATTAGTTTTACACCAACACAAAGTGTTGGTGCAAAGCTACGGGGTACAAAGTGGGGTACAAAAACATGGGGTACAAATATCTTTATCCTTTAATTTTTAATAATTAAAAAGGATATGCTAGGGGTACACCTTTGGTGTACCCCAAATGTACACCACCCCCTATCTACCATTCATTTTATTTTATTTTTATTTTTTACTTTTTTTTTTGAATTTTTTTGTCTTTTTGTGTGGTGATGGAGAGAGTGGGGATGTTTGGGGTACACTTTTGGTGTACCCCTAGCATTTTCCTAATTAAAACATGTCAAAAATTACAAAGCGTGACAAAAATAACAATATGACATTCACTTGTTATTTTGTGATTGAACTAATTGATTAGTTGAAACAAAAAACATTATGTGGCACTCACTTGTGTATATTTACATTATGTTTGGTTTTAGAAATTTGAAAAAGAAAAGAAAAGAAAATTAAGTAAAAAAATACTTTGAGGCATGTTAGGGGTATACTAAAATGGGATACTCTATTTGTACACCAGGCACATACACTAAGACCCTGTCTGTAAAATGGCTTTTCGAAGAGTTTTTGGCATCTTTGATTGCTTTTGGCTTTTTTGACTGAGCGAACAGCCACAATCGTTGTATATATATATATATATATATATATATATATATATATATATATATATATATATATATATATATATATATATATATATATATATATATATATATATATATATATATATATA